ATTCCAGTTAAGGGCATGTGCCTTGGCTGTGGGCACATCCCCAGTGGGGAGTGTGCAGGAGGCAGCTGATCGATGGTTCTCTCTCATCGATGTTTCTAACTCCCTATCCCTCTCCCTTCCTCTCTGTAAAAAAATCAATAAAATATGTATTTTTTAAAAGGGATTGTAAAATATTCTGTCTTCCCCATCAGATCTTAGCTTGGTCCCTGGTCTTCTGTATCCAGGTCTATGAGCTTTCTTTTGTTTTTAAAATATATTTTAATTGATTTCAGAGAGGAAGGGAGAGGGAGAGAGAGAGAGAGATAGAAACATCAATGATGAGAGAGAATCATTGATTGGCTGCCTCTGCATGCCCCCCACTGGGGATAGAGCCTACAACCCAGGCATGTGCCCTTCACCAGAATTAAACCCAAGACTCTTTGGTCCTCAGGCCAATGCTCTATCCACTGAGCCAAACGGGCCAGGGCCAGGTGTGTGATCTCTTCGTTCTCTTTTACAAGTGCAGGGATAGGAGGGAGCTAAGGACTCACCACAACCACTTACACATGGGGCCAGTGGGGCAGGAGGCAGTGGAATCATTAATTGCAATGTGCCTAGGGCAGTGAGGAGAAAAAGATTCTGAAATTTTAACTTTAAGCTCCAGACTTCTCTATAGTTTCCAGGTGGATCTGGGTTAAGGAGGGGGCTATTGTTTTAAGGTGAGATAGAGCGGGGCTCCATGTTTCTGAGTTAGGGGCACTAGCCCCTGAGATCTCCAAACCATAGATCCATGGCCTCCTTTTCTGCTCTGTAGGTATGTCCACTTAGGAGACCACACCAGAGCCCATGGGGTTCAGGAATGAGTGGCTCCAAAAACCAGTTGAGGATGAATACACAACTGTGGGCGTAGATGCATTTTTCCAGCAGAGAGGGCCATTGCTTTCATTACTTCTCAGGGGAGTCTGTGATTTAAAAAAAGGGGGGGGGTTAAAACCACTGTCCTAGATCCTTGGGTTATTTTTTGAGCGGATAAGCAGGAGTGGACACTGAATAATTAGTTAAAGAGGATCCACATTAAGCTAACTTGGTTTGATGAATCATTTTCTCCCTTCCAGACAGGGCTATTGTGCAGATCAGCTGAGATGACAAGTGTGTGAAAGAGCCTTGGTTATGTAAGGTGTTGTTCCAGCCTAAAGAAAAGGAAATAATTATTCCGAATCCTACAGATGGTACCAGAGAAACAGAACTTCTTCTAACTCCCCTTCCCCCCCGGAATTCCTTTCTAGTCACCAGAACCATCCCTGGGTCCTTTGGCTGCACTGTCTTTCTTCATCTCATAGTATTTTAGCGACTCGTCTGAGTTCCCTATCGTACGGCTTGCTGGATATTTATCGCAGCCGAATAGCAGTTGTCATGATAAATGGTGACCCTTTGAAGAAGGATGCACCCAAGCTTATTTGTTCCTCACCCCAGCCTCGTGAGCTGCATAGGAGGTGGGGCAGCCCTGGGAGCTGGGCACGGAGAGGTAACTGACCTGCTTAAAGTTACTGGATGTGCCTCTACATGCGGGAGCATGGGTATCAGAGTGGAGAGGCTCAGACCCTTCTACCAGAGCAGAGGTGGAGAGGCAGCTTGAGGCCACATTCAAGTGTCTCCCGCTCGTGTTTGAGGCTGAGTTACTTCTGGAAAGATCCTGTAGTCAGCTCAATCTGGAGAACGTGCTGTTTGCCAGTTTAGCAGAGACTGCTCTTTTGTCCTTATCTGTCAGATGTCTTCCCTGTTATAGCAGCCACAGGCCTTATTTATTTATTTACTTATTCATTCATTCATTCATTCATTCATTTATGGTGAAAAACATATAACATACAATTTTCCATCTTTTTTTTCAATTATAGTTCACATTCAATATTATTCTGTATTAGTTTCAGGTGTACAACATAGTGGTTAGACAATCATATACTTTACAGAGTGGTTCCCTCTGATATTTCAAGTACTCCCCTGGCCCATACATAGCTATTACAATATAATTTTCCCCCCATTGACCTCTCCCCGGCCACTCCCACCCCCCCCAGTTCAATGCTTCTCTGTCTCTGGATCTGGATCTGTTTTTGTTCATCAGTTTATGTTGTTCACTATATTCCACAGATAAGTGAGATCATGTGGTATTTATCTTCCTCTGACTGGCTTATTTCGTTTAGCATAGTGCTCTCCAGGTCCACCCATGCCACAGGCCACTTGTGTTGCCAAAACAAAACTTCTTAAACAAACAAGGAAATATGCCAAACCGGTAGATGTGATTTCACTGCTCACTGCTCAGGGTTATGTAATACATTCAAATTTCCTCCTAAAACAAAACAAAACAAAAAAACTTGTGAAGGGACCCCTCTGATACCTTCTGTAGCAACCAATTCTTGCTTTGGTGAACTTTCAAGTCCTCAGGTGGCAAATATACAATTAAAATGTTTACATGCTATGAAAAGGCCACAGCTGTTAAAGCCTATGGGCAAAGTTATCATAAGTCAATGCTGTAATAAATAACCGAGAACTTACATATGAGAATCAACCTAGATGACATCTCTGCCCTTGATCTTATTTCTTCTCCACATGCGTCGGTTCTTTCTGCATCTTAGACATAAACTCTGTACCTTTTATATACTGGTAGATATGTTTCTAGAAGTAGAATCATTGGGTCAAAAGCGCACTTCTCATAGGCTTCAGAGGACACTTATGGCCAAAGGCTCCTTAGTAAGGTGGAGACATTTCCACCAGCAATGTATAAGAATGCCATTCCTCCAAGTGGGAACAACCTAGGGTATTTGCAAACTGATGGCAAATAATAGTATCTCATTTTAAATTCAGCTTTTTGACTATTAAGAAAGCTGAACTTTTCCCCAAATTTATGTATGTGTGTATTTTATTTAATGAAACTAGGGGCCCAATGCACGAATTCGTGCACCTTGAAAGGAACTGTGGGCCACGAAGCTGCGGTGGACGCAGGGGCGGGTCTCGGCCCACCTTCATATTATACATTCATAAAAACTCATAGGTTGTTTCTGGCCTGGTGGCTCAATTGATTGGAGCTTTGTCCCATACACCAAAAGGTTTCTGGCTTGATCCCTGGTCAGGGAGTGTATGGTTGATGTTTCTCTCTTTCTCTCTCTCTCTCTTCCTCTCTCTCTAAAAATCAATAAAAACATATCGTTGGGTGAGGATTAAAAAAACCCCTCATAATTTGTCATGACTATTAACGCTTGATTTCAGAGAGGAAGGGAGAGGGAGAGTTTCAAGCTTATGGATGCTTTTGGTTGTCTTTTATTATTGATCTCTAATTGTATTGCATTGTGGTCAGAGAATGTGGAATATTTTATATTTCTTGCCACTACTTTGGAGGCTCAGTATATGGGTGGTTACTCCTTTAGCTTCTGGGGACCTGTGCTCTCCTTTTCACAGCTCTGCTCCTTTCTCAACCCTCCACTGGGATCCATTCCATCCCAACTACTCACACCTTCACTGTCCTTGTGGCTGCTCTGGGCCCTACAGCCTGTTCCAGAACAATATGTTCTTTCCACACTTGGCTGGTCCTGAGAATCAAACACCTGAGGTGCTTTCTTGTTTTAAAAAAATACATTTTTATTGATTTCAGAGAGGAAGGGAGAGGGTGAGAGAGATAAAAACATCAATGATGAGAGAGAATCATTGATTAGCTGCCTCCTGCATGCCCCTCCTGGGGATTGAGCCTGCAACCAGGGCATGTGCCCTCCACTGGAATTGAACCTGGGACCCTTCAGTCCTCGGGCCAACGCTCTATCCACTGAGCCAAACTGGCCAGGCCCTGAGGTGCTTCTTAAACACACTGATTCCCAGGTCTTCCCTGGAAGGTCTGTGTCAAAGCCCTGGAATCTGCATGTTATTGAACAAGGGCCCCAAGTGGTTCTCATGACCGGCAAATGCGGGGCATACTGTGCAGCTGGGAATCAAGGCGTAGGACAGGAGGGAATGCAGTGCTGGGAGGGAGCACTTGTTTTGTGCCCGGCTGTGTTCTGAGCTACTACAATGGCTAAGACACAGTCTGGTGGGGAAGTTGTGTATATAAATGAAAGATGACACGACCATGTGAGGGGAACCCATGGGAGTTTCTGAGGACAGTTCTTTGGGTTCTGATCCCCAGCAATATTCATTAGTCTTTCCATGAACAAACCCTTCGGAAAATTGTAACGAGATGCTCAGTAAACGTCCAGTGACATACAGTTCAAGTCAGGTCTTATGTCTCTCACTTAGTTCAGAGTAGACTATGAGGAGGTGCAAGTAATAAACATAATGGTTGGGATTTTAAACTGTGCTGTCATGAAAACTGTGATCAGATCTGGGCCAAGACGTTTACTTTCTATGTGGTTTTAGGCAAGTTGCTTAACCTTCTGAGCCTCAGTTTCCTCATCTGTAAAATGGAAGGATAATAATACCTACGTCTGTGCGTAGTTATGAGAATTAAATGGGGAAAATGTGTGTGAGATGTCAACATAATATCCAGTACACAATATGTGCTAAAAAATGTTAATTAAAAAAAGAAGGCACTTTTACCCTTTGCAACAGCGTGGATGGACCTGGAGTGTATTATGCTAAGTGAAATAAGCCAGTCAGAGAAAGACAAATACCATGTGATCTCACTGATATGTGGAATCTAATGAACTAAACAAACTGACAAACAAAATGGAACCAGAGGCGTGGACACATGGAACAGACTGGCCGGTGCTCAAGGAGAGGGTGGTGGTGGTGACTGGATAAAGAAGGTGAGGGGATGAGTTCCAGAACATATATGCATACCCATGGACATGGACAGTAGTTTGGTGAAGGCCAAGGGAATGAAAGGTGGGGGTGAGGTGGGCAAAAGGCATGGAAAAGGGGGACACCTGCAATTATGTCAACATTAAACATTTTTAATTAAAAATTATAATCTAGGGAACAAGATAGAGTGGAAAGTATTGTCATTAATGTAATCAAATGGTGATATCTATGTGTTGCAGGTACTAGACCACAAGGATTTTCTGGAATCTAAGTGATGCTTTGCCAACACAACACAATGTCCTCTGGCCAAAGGGTCAGCCCCTCGTCTCCTGTTGTCACAGGTCCAAGTGTCAGTGAGCCTCCGGGCCCCTGCAGAGTGTCTGCTCATCCAGCGTAAGTAAGGATCCGGTGAGGAGCCACTGACAGTGGGGCGAACTCTGACCAGGGAGCCAACAGTCTGATGGGTAGCTCGACATCTTTGGGAAGAACATGGATTCTGGAGCCAGACCAGGTTAAAATCCCAGCTCTCCCACTTAGCATCTGTGTGAATGTGGGTAAGTGATTAGCTGGCTCCCTGGCATATAATAAGTGCTGTGCCAGTGCTTGCTATTATGAAGTTCAAAAGCAGGTGAAACGAAACTCTGTTTTTTAGGAACACATACATACACACATAGGTGGCAAATCTTAAAGAAAAGCAAAGAAATGATTACTATGAGGGTCCGAGTCAGGATAGTGGTTACCTCTCTGGGAAAGGAACACACTGATGGCTTCTGGGGAGCAGGAGGGGAGAGCTGGCCTTGCTTTGTTTGTTTCTTGTCCTGGATGTTGGCTCTATAATTATTTATAATAGTGTATTTATATTTTATGTTTTGTGTATTTTCCTCTGTATATATATCTTTTACAGTAAAAATTTTGAAAACCTTATTTTAACAAACTTTGTTATAATGAAAGTAATTTCAATTCATTGTGAAAATTTTGAAAATATAAAACCAGCATTAAAAAAAAATCACAATAGCTCGGCCAGCATGGCTCAGTGGTTGAGCATTGACCTAGGAACCAGGAGGTCACGGTTTGATTCCTGGTCAGAGCACATGCCAGGGTTGCATGCTTGATCCCCAGCAGGGGGCGTGCAGGAGACAACTGATCAATGATTCTCATCATTGATGTTTCTCTCTCTCTTTCTCTCCCACCCTTCCTCCCTCTCTGATATCAATAATCCTATATAATAAAAGCCTAATATGTTAAGTGTCCAGTTGTCCATTCCATTCAACCAATCAAAGCATAATATGCTAAGGCTGCTCAACTGCTCACTATGATGTGCACTAACCACCAGGGTTCAGTCAATCCGACTGGTAGGTTAGCTTGCTGCTGGGGTCTGGCTGATCAGGACTGAATGAGATGGGCCGGATACGCCCTGGAGCCCTCCCGTGGTCCCTCCCCAGCTGGCCAACCTCCCGCGTCCCTCCCTCACCGATCCCTGCAGGCCAGGCCAAGGGACCCCATTGGTGCACGAATTTGAGCACCAGGCCTTTACTACGCATATAAGATCTTTGGTTAATCTCTTCCTCCCCTCACCCCTCTTAGATTCATCAGTCTGTTCCATGTTTCCATGCCTGTGCATTGATCGTCAGCCCCCTGGTCAGTGCGCATCATAACTACGGGTCGAACAATCGGATGGTCACTTAGGCTTTTATATATATAGATAGTGATGTTTTTAATATGCATAAGAATAAGACTTCGATTTCTTTCTTATTCATATAAATATGCATTTATTTGACATAATTAAGATCATATTATTCTATTCTTTTTAAAACCTGTTTTTTTTCATGCTGTACTTACTCACTCTTCCACCATCACCTGTTTATCTGTCCATGTCCTCTGCACCTTGACTCTAAGCTCCTGGAGACCAGGGACTGTGTTTGGATCCCCAGTGGCTAGAACACTGCCCACCACAAAATGTATTCAGATAAATGTTTGTGCAGCAAACAAAGTAGGTGAATACTTCTAAAGTTCTTCTAGAAAGTTTCCTCTATCCTTGCAATCTTTTAATGCAGTTGGTTTAGCAAAGCCTTTTCAAAAATATTTAGGGGAGATTTATTTTATCCCAATGTCAAAATGACCATATGTTCTGAACTGGGGGTTCTGAGTTATTGTGTTTTTTATTTTTTGCTCTACTGCACACCACCAAAGTTCACAGATATGTTTATTTAAAACTTGTGAGTTATTGCACTAGGATTTGTTACGATTTTTGAGGCAACACAGTCTAGAGTGCGACTGCAGATCAAGCTCTGACACTTCCTAGGTGTGTTTTATCCTTAACTTCTCTGAAGGTCCATTTTTCTTTTAGGTGGAAATGACTCTATTGGCCCAACGTGCATCACAAGATTGTTAGTGGGGAGCAAACACAAGCATATGAAGTTGCTTTGAAGCTATTCAAATATAAGGGTGATGTAATCTTATGAAAAAAGGGCCCATGATTTGATAACAGATAGTTGAAAACATTGGCCAAGGCCACCCATCCCATGCAAAGCTGCTTACACCAGCTGCTTTTTCTGCTGACACCCACAGTACTTTGTTGTAGGTCCTTTCGACTGCCAAGAAGTTCAGTACCAAGCATACTGCTCCGTTATTATAGAACCATTTCAGTCTAGGTTTGATTTTCATTATTTCCTCTTCTTTTCACAGTTATTGCTTTTTAGTTTCCATTTAATGGTCTTATTGAACATGCATCTTTTTTTGTCTGCTACCCCCAGCCTTAGGCAACCACTAATCTACTTTTTATCTCTACAGATTTGCCTATTCTGGACTTTTCATATAAATGGAATCACCAATATGTGGGTTTTGGTATCTAATCTTTTAAATCTAACACAATGTTTTCAAGGTTCATCAATGTAGTAACATGTATCAGTACATAATTTCTTTTTTAAAAAAATGTAAAATATTCATAGCTGAACATATACATTTTATCCATTTTTATTTTAAAATATGCTTTTATTGATTTCAGAGAGAGGAAGGGAGAGGGAGAGAGAGAGAGAAACATCAATGAGAATCATGGATTGGCTGCCTCCTGCACGCCCCCTACTGGGATCAAGCCTGCAACCCCAGGCATGTGTCCCAACCAGGAATTGAACTGTGAACTCCTGGTTCATAGGCTGACGCTCAACCACTGAGCCACACCGGCTGGGCTATCTGTTTTAAGTGTACAGTTCAGAGTCATTAATTACACTTACAGTGTTGTGCAATTATCACTACTATTTTTAAAATACTTTCACTACCCCAAACAGAAACTCTGTATCTGATAAGCAACAGTTACCAATTCTCCCCTCTCCTCAGCCCCTGGTACTCAATCTACCTTCTGTCTCTCTGAATTTACCTATTCTAGATATTTCATGTAAGTGGGATCATACAGTATTTGTCCTTTTGTGTTTTGGCTTATTTCACTTAACATAATGTTTTTAATGTTCATCTATGTGTAGTATATGTCAGAACTTCATTCCATGTTATGTCTGAATAATATTCCATTGTATGTCTACCCGACATTTTGCTTATCCATTCATCTGTTGATGGACATTTGAGTGTTTTCTACTTTTGGGTTGTTATGAATAATGCTGCAATTAATATTTATGTACATATATCTGTTTGAGTGTCTGTTTCATTTCTTTTTTTAAAAAAAATCCTCACCTGAAGATACATTGAGAGAGAGAGAGAGAGAGAGAGATCTATCAATGTGAGAGAGAAACATTGATTGGTTGCCTCCCCTATGCACCCCAGTCGGAGATTGAACCTGTAACCTAGGTATGTGCCCTGACGGGGAATCTAACCTGCAACCTTTTGGTGTATGGGGCCACGCTCGAACCCACTGAGCTTCTGTTTTCAATTCTTTGGGTAAATCCTAAATGCCTAGGAGTGGAATTGCTGGGTTTTATGGTAATTCTATACTACATTTTTTGAGAACCCACAAAACGGTTTTTAAGCATGCGTCTTTTGAATATGTTTTAGTCTCTCAAATTGTGAATAAATAAATTACATGCTCATGGGTGTGTATGGAAGGGCAGGCCTAACCATCATAAGTGAGGGTAATTCTGGTGTAAGATGTGTAAGATCGGGTTCTAAATACCAGCCCGAGCACCTGGAAGACTCTAACCCTTCTGCTTCCTTGCCAGCCCTGCTGCAGACTTGGACCTGAAATCCCCCAGCTCGCATTCTGATCACTCCTCTGAAACCTCACTGCCTGAAATCCAAAAGGAGAAATACCTCAAGGAGTGTAGCCTGCTAAAGCCGCAGACAAGTGAGTGAGTCCTAGATCCTCCTCCACGTGCCTCCCAGCCCAGGGTCCGTCCAGAAGTCCGCCATACTGTTGGACGCCATGCACCGAAGACCCACTAGGCGCCAGGCATTTGACACGCTTCATCTCTAACTCTCACAACAACTATGCTGGGGAGAACATCATTACACGTTCTTCAAAAATAAAATGCCTGTATATAAAAAACCATAAAAGAACGGTATCGAAATGCTAAAATAATAGAGTAGATAGCCCTGGCTGGGTGGCTCAGTGGGTTGGAGCATTGTCCCATACACCAAAGGTTGCGAGTTTGATTCCCCATCAGGGCATATACCTAGGTTGTGGCCTCGATTTCTAGTCAGGGCACATATGGGAGGCAAGCAATCAATGTTTCTTTCTCACATTCCATGTTTCTCTCTCTCTCAAATCAATAAAACAAATCCTTGGATAAGGATAAAAAAAGAAAATATATAAAATACATAAAGAAACCACTTCCCCAGTGTTCTCCAACAATATCCCCATTCTGCCCAAAAGCTGTGAAGAGTTTAATGTATACACTATTCTTCCAAAAATGTGAAATGCATATGTTCGTATGCATAGATCAGTGATGGCGAACCTTTTGAGCTCGGCGTGTCAGCATTTTGAAAAACCCTAACTTAACTCTGGTGCCGTGTCACATATAGACATTTTTTAATATTTGCAACCATAGTAAAACAAAGACTTACATTTTTGATATTTATTTTATATATTTAAATGCCGTTTAACAAAGAAAAATCAACCAAAAAAATGAGTTCGCACATAAAAAAAAAATGAGTTCGCGTGTCATAGGTTCGCTATCACTGGCATAGATGGATGGGTGGTAGTATTCGACCATATTTTCACTAGTAGAAAATAGTATACAAACTATTTTCACACAAAGTAAATAGATCCTGAAGCTCTCTCTGTGTCAATACATATAGATCCATGTGGCTAATAATTCCATACAGAAGGAGTCTGAGGCTGGGAGAGATTCCGTGACCCACAAGTACACAGAGCGAGCGAGTAGAGTGATGGGATCAGAGCCCAAACGTGCCTGCTTCCAAAGCCTTTGTTCTTTCTTGGCGACCACAGAGCCCAAGTGTTTCTCAAACAACCACAGAGCTTTCAGGGGATCTTCTATTGTGTAAAATCCCTTCAGCAATTTTATAGAGAAAGTATAGGATGAGGAGACAAAGGACCTGAGAGGGTCAGTAAGTTGCCCGAGTCTCACATCAGCCTTTCTCATTTGCACAATCACATGTACACACATGCCAGTGTCACTGTCGTGCATGCATAGGCCACTGTTGCTGCCAACACCATATTCCACCCAGTTAAGTTGTCTCGGCTGGCCCAGCCCTTCCCTGGTTGATGGGCATTTCCTTCTTCCTGCCCGCTCATCAGCGTGAAGGTTGGACCACAGGTGCTTGTAAAACTGTCTCTGAGCTTCCCAACCCATACATCACTCCCAGCCATAAAAATTGGCTTCATTTTTGGAGGAGAGGGTAAAAAGGAAAAAAAAAAAAAGAGGCCTATTAGCTTTCTCCCCGCTTCCCTTCCTTTCGTGTCCAGTCCTACAGCGGCCAACCTGCCCTGAGGTAGGACCAAGGAACCCTGCGTGTGGATAATGGGTGCACAGCCGAGGGTGCCCGGGGAGTTTCCTCGACCTCTGGTCGTCCCGTTGCATTCCGGGGCTGGCAGCAGTGCTAACGGAAGGCTTTCTGATGTCCTGCAGAAGACGGGCAGCGTCCAGAGTGGACATTTTACCCGCGGCTTAGCGGCAACATCCACACCTACCACGTCGGGAAGCAGTGCTTCTTCCAGGGCGTCTTTCTCGGCAACAGGAGGTCTCTGGCAGAGAGGACGGTGGACAAGTGCCTCGGGAGGAAGAAATGTGGTAATGTGGTCCCCCTGGGCCTTAACTGTGCAAGCCTGAAAACACCCTTGAGCCCTAACCGGTTTGGCTCAGTGGATAGAGCGTCAGCCTACGGACTGAAGGGTCCTAGGTTCGATTCCGGTCAAGGGCATGTACTTGGTTAAGGGCACATTCCCCAGGAGGGGGTGTGCAGGAGGCAGCTGATCCATGTTCCTCTCTCATTGTGGTGGTTCGGCAGGCCCAGCATTTCATGGCCGGGGCAGCCCTGCGAGGCTACCGTGCCAGCCCAGTGCAGCCCGGATGATAGGCAAGTGAAGGGGATGGTTGGCAGGCTGCACTTTTCAGCAAAGAACTCACAGCAGATGCTGATCCACGTTTTTGTTTTTCTCTATCTCATGAAATGCTAATGTGACATTTCAGCCAGCAGATAAGTCCTCTCAGATACTTATTATACATGGGAGTTTGAAGGAAATCATGTATGTTTCAGTTAGATGCTGTCTGTCACATGCATGTACACTGTACTTGATATTTTTCACAAGGAAAACATCCCATACACCTTAGCCTGAAGTGTGTATTATTACATAGCTTATTTAATTAAAGGTCATTGTCATGAGCATATCTATCTATCTACCTATCTATCTAACTTGGTGAGTTCTGTGTCTCATAATTTATTAAAGACTCTAAAGTGTTGCTGAGTACCAGCAGACCTTTTATGGCACATCCTCCTACAAAAATACCAGTGTGGGAGGCAGCCACAGTTTCAGGGATGAAGAGAATCGCTGTAGCAGGAATACAAAGAGAAAGAAATAGGAAGTTCTCATTTTTTGTTTTGTTCTAAAATAGGCTTTTAAGCCAAAACCGGTTTGGCTCAGTGGATGGAGCGTCGGCCTGCGGACTGAGGGGTCCCAGGTTCGACTCCGGTCAAGGGCATGTACCTGGGTTGCAGGCACATCCCCAGTGGATGTGCAGGAGGCAGCTGATGGATGTTTCTCTCTCATCCAAGTTTCTAGCTCTCTATCCCTCTCCCTTCCTCTCTGTAAAAAAATCAATAAAATATATTAAAAAAAATAAAATAGGCTTTTAAACTCATATCAGCAACAAATAGCTTTGAAAGCCAAGGATTTTGTTTAGGTATAAAGTACATGAAAAGCCAGACTAGAGGAGGTAGGAGGATAGTCACTGATAGGGGGACAATGAGGAGCCCATCTCCTGAGATCAAAATCTAGAGAGTGATTGGATAGCGGGGGCTTCTGCCTCCGAGTGTGGCTGGGGGAGGACCTCGAGCCTCAGAGGGAGGTGGCCTCTGCTCTAACCCTGAGCTGGAGGCAGTGGAAGCTGTGGGCAACGGAAGGACAGAAAGCCAGACTCAGGGCTCGCCCACCCAGGAGGTGGGGAAGAATAGCTGTCTTTCAGTGCCCTGTGAAGGCTGTGGAGGTTGGGACAGAGCGAAGGAATGAGGGAATGAGAGAAAGAGAGAGAACAAGCCAGGAGAGCTCACCCTGGGATGCAGGAGGCCACAGTGTAATGCACCATGAATCGCCAGGCCAGGGATCTTACGAGAATAAACTTATGCCTCACCTGATGCACTGTGGAGGGGATGGCTTCCTGAGGCTCAGACTGGATGTCACATGTCATCAGACAACAGAAACAAATGCCAACTCTCAGAGGAGCAGCAGATACCAGTGTGGTGTGCAGAGAGTAGCCCAGGACCCAAAGCCTGGACGTCACGTAGGCCTGCTGTGCACACCCCTACTTCCCACTCCCAACTGAGATGTAGCCATAGGGTAGAACAAGAAGGACAGATTTAACTGTTTTTTTTTTAAAAAAATGTATTTCTTTATTGATCTCAGAGAGGAAGGGAGAAAGAGAGAAACATCAATAATGAGAGAGAATCACTGATTGGCTGCCTCCTGCACACCCTCCACTGGGGATTGAGCCCGAAACCCAGGCATGTGACCCTGGCTGAAATCGAACCTGGGACCCTTCAGTCTGCAGGCTGACGCTCCATCCACTGAGCCAAACTGGCCAGGGCAACTGGTTTAAATCTGAAACAACTGAGAAAAACCAAGAAGGGACTGAGTTTAGGTGTGTATTACTTAGGAATGCACTTGGCTGCAAGTAAGAGAAAAGCCAAATTTTCAGAGGCTTAAATCGTAAGATATTTATTATGTATCTTAGAAGAAGCTTTGACATCTAGGTGGCCTGTATGGTGTGGTTGCCCAGTAATGTCATCAAATATATAGACTCATTCTGTCTTTAGGCACCGTCATTCTTAATAGTGTTGGAGTTGGTCTTATCAAAAATGCTTATCATTTATGGTCACAAGATAGCTGTTGCCGTTCCAAGCACCGTGTCTATATTTATGACCAGAAAAAGAGGAACCTCTCTTGTTGCCGCCCCCTTTTAGGAGGAAGGAAACGTTTTACCATGTGGTCCTTAGGAGACCTTCTTCCACTCATGTCTCGCTGACCAGACTGGGTCAGTGACAGTATGTAGCCAAAGTGAATGGGATGCCCTGGCCGGCATGGCTCAGTGGTAGAGCGTCTGACCACGCACAGAAGGGTCGAGAATTCGATAATCAGTCAAAGGCATGTACCTGGGTTGCAGGTTCATTTGCCCCAGGTTGGGGGTGGGGTGGGGTGAGGGGGGCAGGGAGGCAACCAATTGATGTGTCTCTCTCACATCAGTCTCTCTTTCTCTTCCCCTAAAAATCAATGGGAAAAAATCCTCTTCCTCTCTAAAATCAATAAAAACATATTTTTTAAAAAAGTGAAGGAGATTATCAGTATGATCCAAGTCCTAACCCCAACCCATCACTTTCCTCCTAACTCAACATTATCCTAAATTTTGTGATTGTTCCTTTTCCTTTCTTTTATGTTTAAAAATAAATAAATACTGAGTTATATTTATTGACTATATAGAATAAAATTCCAAAACACGTATATGCTTCTCACTCCATTTAAGAACTGGCATATTATCTTTATATTTGAAGCCTCCAGTAGGCCCCTCCCTAAATACAACACCTCTTATAAACAGATATCTGCTTTGTCTTAGTTGGATTACTTCTTCTTAGGTGATTGTGCAATGACTTCTTTTTTGGTTGCTAATCCTCACTCCAGGATATTTTTCCATTGATTTTTAGAGAGAGTGGAAAGGATGAGAGAGACACATCAATTAGTTGCCTCCTGCATGCACCCCCACCCCGTGGGTGGGATCGAGCTTGCAACTTTGACCAGAATCAAACCCCAGGCCCTTCAGTCCAAGGGCCGATGCTCTATCTACTAAGCCAAACCGACCAAGGCCTTTTGAAAAATATATATTTTTTATTGATTTCAGTTTGCTCCTTGATATGGACCTGTAATTTAATGTGTATGTCCATTTTCTACCTCCTGCACATCTTTCTTGCTAGGAGATTGGCTGGTTTACCTGAAAGCATAAACAAGCACGATGTGTTATGGACCCATCAGCTGTTGATACACAGTGGCCAGCACCTTGGGCTGATACCTGATTTTGTGGAATACTCAGAAATTATATCAGGATCCCATAATATACCTAACTAGAGGCCCGATGCATGAAATTCCTGCAAGAGTAGGCCTTCCTTCCCCTGGCTGGGCTTCCCTCCGGCCCTGGCTTGGTCCGTCAGGTCTAATTAGCTTATTACCCTTTTATTATTATACATAGCTTAAACAAGTGTATGCTCTCAGAGGTGTTGTTTGGGAGATTTTCCCTAAAAGTAATATCTTATACTTGGATACAAGCCATTGGTTCTTTTTCTGCTTGCTGACATTATCTTGTGAAATTCAGTAGATTCGAAGTTGTCCTCAGACCACCTGTATCATAATCAACTGAGAGTTTGTTTTAAAAAATGCTGGTTCTGGCCCAGCCAGCTTGGCTCAGTGGTTGAGCGTTGACCTATGAACCAGGAGGTCAGGGCTCGACTCCCAGTCAGGGCACATGCCCAGGTTGCGGGCTCGATTCCCAGTGGAGGGCGTGCAGGAGGCAGCCGATGATGGTTCTCGCTCATCATGGATGTTTCTATCTCCCTCTCTCTTCCTCTCTGAAATCAATTCAAATATATTTTTTAAAAATGCTGGTTCTGGGAACAATTCCAGATCTTCTGAAACAGAATTTCTTAGCTTGGGATCTAGGAGGTGGCATTTTTAACAAGTTCCGTAGGGGATGCTGGGGTGTGCTAAACTGTTAGGATTACTATCCTATAGTATATGGCATTTACCACCTAATATAATGTTATTTAACTTTCTAATATACATGTCTTATTTCCCCATCGAGATAAGATTCCCTAGGCAAAGGTTTATACCTTTGCTAGATGATAATCGCATTTTCCAAATTAAAAAACAGATTTGGGATGGGGGTGCTATTAGCCTCGTCCTGATTTCCAATAATAATGACAAATGCTACGTGAGTGCTTACTACGGGGCCAGGTTATTCTCATTTAGTATTCATGATGACTCTGCAAAGTGGACATTTGAAGGAAACAATTTATAAAAAGGCGTAGGGAAGTTACCTAAGTAGCTGGAGGGCAAGGAACTAGCAACTGCAGAACTGAATTTGCACTCCTGCATGACTAACTCCAAAGTCCCAGCCCTTCTCACCACCCCTTGCTGTCGCCTCCTCTTTGCTTCTCAGTTTCCGGGTTTGGGAGTCAAAAGATAGGGTCACTCCACTCTCCCTGCTTGGAACCCTCTGCACTCAGACCCAGCAGGCACTCCACGGGAGTGTGGTTGATGCGATTGCATTACTCTTAAGAGCTAATAAAAAATTTAGGTGAAGAGTCGTAGCAATTGAAAAGGCTTTTGAAAGAGAATGGTAAAATAATTAAATTTTCCAGTAATTCCACCTGTTGGGAGGTGGCTTTTCTGAGTTTGGTGGAGGAATTTGGGAAAGTTGGAAGCAGTTTATCAAAAAGCTTCCCTAGCTCTTCCTTTGGTTCGCCTCATAGGTACAGTTGAATGGAGTGATATCCAAACCAGCATTTAAAAGGAAGACAATGAGTCCTGTTCACTGGGTGCCTCTAGCCCTGCTTCTAATTGTAACAGCCCAGAAACCGTATTTTTTTTAAATCTGCCCTTCCCCTCTGACTCAAACTGGCTTCACTCAGGGCCTTGACTCACTCACCTCCTTCTCCCTTGCTTACTCATTAAGCCTCGGGACAGTGAGGCCCTGGTCAGCATCCACTAGTCTTAGGAACAAGGTCCTGGCTTACTGACTACAGAGTCAGAGTTTTCAGTCAAACTAAAGGTAACGTCTTAGCCCTCGCCGGTTTGGCTCAGCGGAAAGAGCATCGATTCCAGTCAAGGCCACGTACCTCGGCCTGGCGTTAGGCTCTGGCGTTAGGAATCCAATCGATGTGCCTCTTTCACCTCAATGTTTCCCTCTCTCCCCTTCCCTTCCACTCTCTCTAAAAATCAATGGAAAAAAATCCTCAGGTGAAGATTAACAACAAATAAATAAACTAATTAATTAAAAAAAGAGAGCTGCTTTTTTTTTTTTTTTTTTAAAAAAAAGATAATGTCTTGGCCTCAGTTGTTAGCTCAGCGCCCAGAAAAGCAGAACAGATCCCGCTGAACAAATCCTTGCAAATTCAGAAAGAAGAACTCCATGGCTAACATCAGGACCAGATGCAACGATCAATTACCCCTAGCCTCAACCCATCAGTAGAGACCATGACTGATGATTTTTTCTCTATATAATCCATCGCCTGGAAGCCATCAGGGAGCCAGGTCTTTGAGCATTAGCACTTGTGACTCTTGGGCATGGGGCCATCTCCTTAATGAATCCTTACTTTCTTGGCTGCAAACTCCTGTTCGTGTCTTATTGGGCTTTGATGCGCACAGAGAAACGGACCGCTTCAGTCCGGGGCCGGTAACATGATCCCAAGGCCAGTTCATCTTGCGGTCCAGGCTTGTTCTCTCCTGCATCTGGTGTCAGACAGGTGGGTTTAGGTGACTATCTTGTACCAGCTGTCTCCTTTCGAGCTCAAGTGATTACTCATCTGTTACTTGTTCCCGGGTGTTGGAAGGGGCTGAGTTGGGTGTCATAGTTCTAGCTGAACAAGCAGTGTGGCCCCTCTTCCCGGGGAAGGCCACCTCCTGCTGCAGCACAGCCCCAGCACTTGCAGCAGAGGGAGGAGCAGGACTCTCGTTACCTATTTTCCCCGAGAGGCACGGCCCCAAAGACAGTTGCTTCTCAAGCTTTATAGGATTCGGGGACTCAAAGGGCACTCATGCTCAGGGATGAAAGACTTAAGTTAGAGTTTTTAAAAAATGGCCCTGATCGGTTTGGCTCAGTGGATAGAGCGTTGGCCTGCTGACTGAGGGGTCCCGGGTTCAATTCCGGTCATGGGCATGTACCTTGGTTGTGGCCACACCCCCAGTAGGGGGTGTGCGGGAGTATGCCGGCTGGGCTAAGCCAGAGTTTTTGCTCATGGTGCAGAGATGTCTCAGATTCATTATTCATTTTAATCCAAATCTCAGCTATTCTTCTTTCCCAAGGTGAGGTAATCATAACACCTTTCAGAAAATGTCCCCAACATAGGCTCACACTTTTGTCGTCTTCTCAAGGGAAGCCAAGTATAAACAGAACTTTAAGACACCCTTATGTACCTCACAATAAAGCACTACATTATCTTATTTCCATCATCACATCAATCCTTAAAGCAAATCTGTAGATCATTTTTAGGCATTTTAATGATTTTGTTTTAAAACATCGTTCACAGATATTGATCCCAGGAATGGAATCCCAACGTTAACTCCAGGAGATAATCCATATATGTACCCAGAACAGAGTAAGGACTTCTACAAAGTAGGAGCAACTCTCCCACCAGTGAATTTTTCACTGTAAGTATATGCTAATACTAGGGTTATTTAGTTAAATTGAAAGGAATTTTATCTTTCTTTACTACATATAAATTCTATTTTAAAAAGGGTAGATCTCAACAAAACATGGTTGCTGAAAATTCCTAAAAACGTCCATATGTAGTTCATTAGTGTATATAATTAGTATATAATTAAAATTATACGTAGGATCTTTACTACAAAAAGTGGTTGTTAATTTTACTCCTATTATTATTACCACAACTTTTAAGACTTTTCTATTTTCATACTGAATCAGGTTTTTGATTAGTGACTACTAGTTGGGCTCACTTATACTTGGAACTAAACTTAGACCAAAGTGACTAAGGAAAAAGGGAAGGTCATTAAATTAAAAGAAAAATAGTTGGTGTATTACATTAAAAATACCAATTAAAAATTAACTGTTTGATTTAATGATGTTCATTAAAAATTATAAAATAGGAATTATGGCCCTTACAGTTTTGAAGCCCATCGATGACAATTAAAATGAGAAAATAAGACATCTTATTGAACACAATGATGTATTGACCTCTTTGCTATAGATGCAAGTCAATTTTATGACCACCTTTCTGTTTTTCAGAGTGCCTTATGAAAAGAAACTTGATACATTTATTCCACTTGAGCCTCTTCCACCAATTCCTAAGTGAGTTCTCCCACCATGTTTTTTTTTATTATTATACTAGAGGCCTGGTACACAAAATTTGTGCACTTGGGGGGGCGGGTCCCTCAACCCGGCCTGCATCCTCTCCTAGTCCGGGAGCCCTTGGGGGATGTCTGACTGACAGCTTAGGGGAGTGGGCCTAAGCTGTCAGTCGGACATCCTTAGTGCTGCCACGGAGGCAGGAGAGGCTCCCACCACTGCCACTGCACTCACCAGCCATGAGCCTGGCTTCTGGCTGAGCGGCTCTCCCCTGGTGGAGACGCACTGACCACCAGGGGGCAGCTCCTGCATTGAGCTCCTGCCCCCTGGTGGTCAGTGCACATCATAGTAAGCAGTTTACCAGCCTTAGCATTCTTAGCATATCATTAGCATATTACGCTTTGATTGGTTGAATGAATGACCGGACGACCAGACACTTAGCATATTAAGCTTTTATTATATAGGATCTTTATGAAGATATCAATTATTATTTTCTCCTATGGAGGAACTCATAGACACCCAACACACAGGGACCTTTTGAATCCCAGCAGGTAGGCAGGGCAGTTTGTATAGAGGGTTGTTGGTGAGATACTTGGAGGCAAGTCTCTGTGAATTCTGACAGCTGGGTTGCTCACAAGATATGATTGACAAACTACCAGATGCCGGGTGGTGTGCTAGGTATGCACTGTGTGTGTCTGTGTGTGTGTGTGTGGGGGGGGGGGGCGTAAATGGAGCAAAAAGACAAGGTCCCTGATTTCTGAAACATAAGAGAGTGTTGGCAAAGAAAGACACATGCTTAAATGAGTGCAGCCAGGGAGGATGGTTAGAGTGAAAAGGCAGAGAGGAAGCCATTGGAGTATTCCTGTATTTGAATAAAGTATCATTCATCTGATCTCATATTTTTGCTTAGTTCCATTCTGAACTTTATTTACTGAAGTAAGGTTCCAACCTAGAAAGAGAATGGGTTTCTATTATTTGGGTTTGTCTTTAAATGATAGCTTTAAATGATAACTTTCATGCCCAATATTTTCTACATCAAGCATGTCAAACTCAAAGACTAACACAGGCCAAATAAACAAGGTTTAAGTTTATGTGGGCTGCAAAAAAAAAAAATCCAAAAGCTTCAGTTTTTAAAGAAACGTAGGTTTATTTCAATAGAGACATGCTCAATACAAAGGGCTGAAATAAATGAGTCATTGTTAACATAAAATAATAGAACATTTTAATAAAAATTAATATTTTTCTTGAACATTAACTTACCAGACACTGAATCGCACGTAAAGGAAATGAATGCAACACAGTTATGGTAATTGGTCATTAGCAAACATTGTAGTTTGTTATTAATAATTATGTAGAACAGGATATTGTAAAAATTAAGTTATGAAATTTTTATTAAAACGTTTCTTACATATCGTTATATTGGCTGGGCCGCAAAAATATTCATTATGGGCTGCATGTGGCCTTCGGGCTGCGAGTTTGACATGCTTTGGTCTACATGGTACTTCTCTTTCTCCTTGCAGGCTCTTCCCTACCCTCAACAGGTTTATCAGGGCTTTCCCCCACCCATGGTGCATTTCTCCTTAATACAGCGGTTCTCAACCTGTGGGTCGTGACCCCTTTGGTGGTCAAACGACCCTTTCACAGGCATCGCCTAAGACCATCCTGCATATCAGATATTTACATTATGATTCATAACAGTAGCAACATTATGTTATGAAGTAGCAATGAAAATAATTTTATGGTTGGCTCACAACATGAGGAACTGTATTTAAAGGGCCAGAAGGTGGAGAACCGCTGCCTTAAAAGAATGGAAGTTCTAGCTACCAAAACATAAAAACATTCTTAATCTCACTGCCTGATAGAGCTGCACACAGCCCAGCCCAGCATATGTCATTTCAAATCTCAACAGATCTGGGAGGACCCTGGGTGTTTGCATTAGCTGAAGTCCCAGCAGAAAACAGAAGGCACACTCAGCTGGGATTCTGAAGGCAGTTTAATGAAGGAAGTGTTTACAGATGTGTGAGCAAGTTTCGAGAACTCACATGGGAGCGTGAAGCACCCAGGGGCTCCCGGCAGTGGGAAGCTTTTACTACTCCTAAGCTGAGCAGCAAGAGGAGGAATCATGGTTTGCAGAGCAGTGGGAGGAGAGGGGCTGTTCAGGAGGAGTTGTGGCAGTGGAGAATGTGGCCGCTGCCAGAACTGGGGTACCTCCCTCAGGAGGCAGGGCAGGAACTAGGTAAGAAATATCTCACCCGGTCTCCTCACCTTCTCATCTTCGGTTGGTGCCTCTCATTAGCCAAGCCCAACTCAGAGAGGAGTCAAGCTAATGACAGCTGCAGGGGTCAGCTTCCCGGACAGAGAAGGGCAGAAGAAGAAAGATCTGGATGTGGGGCAGGGGCAATGGTGAACAATTGGCATGGTGTTTTATTTTGACACTGATCTTCTAAATTGGAGGCCTTCTTACTGTAGACCATGCTTATAAATTTTGCATCAGACAAATGCAAACTCAGGGTGTTGTTTTCTCCTTACAGCTTGCCTTTCTGGGTAAAGGAGAAGGCCAGCTTGCTGAAGAATGAGATAAGAGAAGTTAAGGAGCTGGACAGTTGGCAGTCATCGATCCCTTTGATACAAAGTTTGTACTCTGCTGGTGGGTTAAAAAACCTTCACAAAATAAGCGGTTTCCGTAGTGTAGTGGTTATCACGTTCACCTCACAAAATAGCATAAAAACTGGAGGCCAGCCCAGAAGAGCAGGCTTTTGAGCGGCTTCTCCGTGGAGAGGAGAAAAGGCAGAGCCTCTCCCAGAGTGGATGGTGTCTTTTGCCCCAGGTGGTCCCAGGTGGCCCCACTTCATGGGTTGAGTGTGTTGGTTGAGAACTCTTAGTCTTTTTGTTTGTTGTTAATCCTCACCCAGGGATATTTTTTCCCATGGATATTTAGAGAGTGGAAGGCACGGGGAGAAACAAAGAGAGAGAAAGATGGATGTGAGAGAGACACATTGATTGGCTGCCTCCCGTATGAACCCCGACTAGGGCCAGGAATCGAGCCTGCAATGAGGTACGTGCCCTTGACCGGAATCAAACCGGGACCTTTTAGTCCATGGGCCAACGCTCTACCCACCAAGCCAAACCGGCTAGGGCAGAGAACTAAGTCTTTTAATGGAACACAACCTTTAACTCCATGCCTCTGTCCACAGGTACTTTGGACCTTCCAAGACATTCCTGAGAGAAACAGGCCCAGAGAGCATGCACCGGGCCCTCTGGGGAGCTTCTTCCAGTTGCTTGCATCTGTCTGTGTGGCTGTTCTCAATCAAATGTCTGACTGATAAGGAATCACTGTGCCTTGCCTTTTTTAACTTTATATTTTGAAAACTTTTAAACTTACAGAAAAATTGCAAGAATCTACAAATACCTACATATCCTTCACCTAGATTCTATGAATGTTGACATCCGTCCAAATTTGTATGCATGCTCTGGTGGCTATTATTGCTATTATTATTTTGCTGAATTATTCTAGAGTGAGTGGCAGACATTGTAACCCTTTAGCCCTCCACACCTGTAAACTTTAGTATATATCTTCTATGGTCAAGGATATTCTCCAACAACCACAAGGCAAATATCAAATTCAGAAAATTTTAACATTGATACAATACCCCCACTATACAGTCCATACTCAGTTTTATTCTGTTAAATTTAATTTTCTAAGGATGCCCTCAAAGTGATGGTAAAATGCAGACATGTGAGCTTTCATTAATTTTGGAAAATTATTTTTATTTCATTCCTATTGAGATTTTCTCTATTATCCACTCAATACATGTCAGAAAAACATGAAGGCTGGCTCTCCATCAGGTAATTAATGCTAGTAGTTCCATTCCCCACTTCCGTATTGCCTGCCTACACAGCCAAGCAGGCTGACAGCTCAGTGAGCACCAGCCATGAGCCTTAGGATCTCTCATCAATCAGGCAAGAAGCAAACATTTGGAGGAGGTGGATAAAAGCCACCCCTGTACAGCCAGGCTGTGACGCTCAGCAGTCAAACCAATGGCTCAGCATTTTCATAGCCAATCTCCTTCTCCACTGAGACCCCACTGGTTGGCTAATGAAGGGCACAAATCTGATCTCCCCAAAACCTTAGAGTGGAAAGAGAGAATTTGGCCCATGAAGAGACTCAGAGTGCCCAAGAAATGAGACACAATTTCTTTTCCTGTCAAACATTGTTTTCATGTTCTTGGTGGAAGCTGAGTATCCCTCTCCCCACTGAATGCTGGGGGTTGGGTCCTCATGATATCTCGAGAAGGAATATTTTCTGAGACTTGCATGGGAGGATGAGTAATCTTTATTTGCATGGAATTACATCTCTAGGTTTGCGAAGTCCCATTACCCTTAAACCATCCTGGAAGATGGGCAGCTGAGGATTCAGAAGAGCTAAGAGTGAAGCCAGTGTCCAGAGTTTCCGTTCCATGGTAGAACTGGGTCCGGTGTAGCATTAGGCTAATTATAGTCCTTAGTCCATTATGTGGGGTCCACATAGCTGTGGGTGAATGCAGGTGCGTGAGAGTGCTGCAGGCCAGGTGTCAGGCCTGAGCAAGCAAGAGAGCAAGAGCAACAAGAGAGGGAATTCCTTAGTTTAAGTGCTTATGTACCTCAAATCTTCCTGCACTTGCAGTGGCCATGTCTACTCTGGCCACTGACCTGTTCCCAGGTGTGATGGACAGGCAAGTACCTTTCCTAGGTCACCCAGACTTTACTGGGCATGCATCTATATTGCAGCTGTCTGGCAAAGCTGCACAAATGGCATTCCTATAAAATTTGGCCTTCCCTTTGCTCCTTTCCAGTTATTTAATAACCAGATTCATTCCAACAGTGTTATTCAGACCCAGCCAAAGCGATGAAGCAGGCTTAGAGCACGGCACATTCATGCTCTCGTCATACATGTCTTTAGACAATGAGCATAAAACATGTGGCTACTGCCAGCAACTGCACCTGACCCCCCTCAGGTTCACATCAGCGTATCTCTGTGCTGATTCTCTTACCCCGGGACACAAGGCCCACCCTGCTCCCCAGCAAAACCCAGGAAAGAAAATAAAACAAAATAATTTTAGAAACAGGAAAAAGAGAGATTGCCAACAGATTTTTCTCAAAGACATCGACTTCTGTAAAAACTAGTATTTGTGCCCTTCTGTTACTTAAAGTTTAAGTATGTCAACTGCAGCCTCCTGTGTGGGTGGATAATGGAGAACACAACCTACTAGTAGATGAACACGAAGTTTCTGCAGGAAACTCCAGATGGGATTATTCATGTGGAACAGGAAACTGCTTGGAAGGCAGGAGTCCCACACTGGAAAGGGATTAAGAAAAACAACCAAAATACAGTTTCAGAAGATTTGTAGTCGTCTTTACATTTCCAAGAGGTCTATATAATTCCTAGGTGCTGCTCTAAGCCGGAGTAGATATGATTTAAACATGTTATCAAATGCATACATTTCAGGTCCCCTGGGGGCCAACCCCTCCCTTTGAATTAGCCAGTCACGAAAGACTATGAGCCTGAGCTCCAATCAAGAGTGAGGGACAGGTTGTGTGTGTCAGGATTAAAAAGCCGAGCAGACCGCCTGCTCAATGTGCGCATGCTCCCAGACCACGTGCTGCATGCCCTCCAGCAGGAGTAAAGGTAGAGAAGCCTAAAAGAGAACAAGGGCAGACAGAGAAACAAGATCCCTTGTCCTGCCTTTCCCACCCTATGTGATTGGGGGACAGTCTACCTTGCTGCCTGGCTCCTGAGTATGCTTTGTGTTCTACAAGGACTTCTGAATTTGGGGACTCGCCTTATTTCTTACAATTTGGGGGCTCGTCCGGGATACCATTGGTCGTCACGGGGGAAACTGGACCTCTCTTACGAGGAAGTGTGCTCCGCTGCCAAGTTGTGGTGGCCTTGGTGAGGAGGGACAGCCATTACCTCTGGGCTGACTATGAGCTTGGGATTGAGAGTCAGCCAGCAATGCAGCGAGAACTGCGGCAGTCAGGTAACCTCATGCATGAGCCAAGGTGGGAAACTGGACTGAGTACTACTGTGGTGATTGTGTATCCTTGGAGGTCAGGTATATGAGACTGGGATGTGTGTTGGACATAAAGTGAGTGTGGAGTTCTGATCCGTGGTTCCATTCTCCTGCGAGGGAAGTGGCCAGAGGGGGACGAAGATGATCTCGGGGAGTATGAGAAACCTCCAACATAGGAGGTTGAGTACGTAGTCACAAAGGACCTACCGAGGATGGGAAACAGAAATTCTAGGCCTAGGGAATACATTCCTCTGAAATAGTCCATTGGGAGAAAACCAAGATTCTGGGGAGGGGCAGTTCCTGAACCAGGGACAGAAGAAATTGCTCTGCTTTAGTGGTTCTTAATGCAGGGGATTCTGTGGTGTAAACTTTTAGTGTGTTGTGCGTGCCTGTGTAAGAATTTTTCTGTTGATGTTTTATGTCTCTTCATTGTTTGTTTAATTTGTTTAAAGATGGGGCAAGTCCCGCTTTGGGGAAGCCCAGTTATGCATGGTTAGGCTGAACACGTGACAGATTGCAGAATGTCCCATCAGCTGCCAAGAATCCTTAATCTTGGGGACTCTTCCTGCTCTCCCACTCAGGGTGTTAGCCACCAGAAACTCTTAGCTAGTGAGATTTTTGTCTGTGTATCTGTAATGTAATGTTGGCTTTCTATCTTTTAGTGACTTTAGTTTGCTCTTTCCTGGTTTATGAATATGGGGAAGTAAGCTATGCAGGCTGGGTTGGGCAACAAGGTTAATGCTTCCATGATAATAGGTAGTTCTTGAATGAGGATGGAACGCATTCCAAGGGTGACTCCCAGGTCCCGGGGCATACGACTCCCAGCCAGGTTGGTATGTCCTTTCTTTTAACAGAAAGGGCAATCATAGTTAACAGTATAATTAATACTTCCCATAACCATAACTAGTCATCAATGTCCTGTTTTTCCCCATAACACTGGGAGGAACAGATCTGTAGAAGTACCCTCTAGCAGTGAAGTAGGGGCAGTCCTGTTTTTATAGAGAAAAATAAAATAGTACTTTCACACTGAGTTATCCCTCTTACAAAATTGGTCAAGAAAATGCTTTAGGTAATAATTGGCTTTAAAATCTCATAGTTGTTAAGATATAATAAATAGATGTAACTAAAATGAGGGACTTATGATAAAGCTTTTCAGTAATAATTATAAATAATGTTAATAATAAAAGTCCATTCACTCAAGAAGAGATTGACTATGCTCTCTGTTGGAGGGAAGGGCCAGTCATCCTTTTCCCTGTAAAAGTAGAGTAGCCTAAAAGAGAACAAGGGCAGACAGAGAAATGACATCCCTTGTCCTGCCTTTCCCTCCCTATGTGACCAGGGGACAATCTGAGGGAACATCCAAGATTTACAATCCCAGCCTCCCCCTCAGGAGGCGGGCTGTCCTGATAAAGCTCCAACCAGCCCTGAGGCCTCTGCACCACCAGGAACCAGCTTTTCTAGGTTGTGAAAGGAGTTGGAGCCATGTAAAAAAACAAAAACAAAACAAAACCAGAGTTAAAACCTCTGCTGGAAGACCCACGTCGCCTAGCTGACCAGCTAGACCCATTTTTGGGCCCACAAGTGTATACATAGACCCGAGCCAATGTCTATCTTGGGAATGCTATTCTCAGGAAAAGAAGGGGGAGTGATTTCAAGGTTGGGTATGTCTATCTGGGAAAGGGAGCATATGGGTCACGGGAAAAATGAAGGGACCCTCATTGAGCCTTTAGATCCCAAGGCCACATTCTCATGCCCTTCCCAAATAACACTTCTTTACTTAACAGTCCGGCTACTATCAGAAGCTGAACTCATCACCCAAACCTTAGCATGTTATCTCTAAGGAAAAATGTGGCAGTTTTGAATCCAGGCAGCTAGAGGTCCGGGAACTGGCTGCGGGGCCTGCTCCCTTCTCCCCCTGCCCTTTCCTCCAGCCTCATAGGTATATACATAATTTTCCGAAGTCTTTGATAACTTAAGGCTATGTAGCATAGCTGGATTAAATGATAAACATCTAAATATTTTGAAATAACAGGATACTGAAACATTAGTTAGTCTGAATTTGCCTCTTAGGGAAAATATAGAGGATGGATTTGAAACTATTAATGAATAAATCTTGTATTTTATTTGAAACTAGAGGCCGGGTGCACAAAATTTGTACATGGGTAGGATCCCTAGGCCTGGCTGGCAATTAGGACCGATGGGTGGGGTGACTGGCTGGGAGATTGGGGGCACCCGCCTTGGCTGGCCTGGTGCTGCCTGCTCACCTGCCCCACCCCCTGCTGCCACTGCTGGTCGCCTCCCTGTGCAGGGTGACCAGCGGGGCAATCTGGGGGGCCCCCACTGGCACCCGCCTTGGCTGGCCTGAGGCCTGAGGGCTGGGGGAAGCTCCTGCATTGAGTGTTTGCCCCCTGGTGGTCAGTGTGCATCATAGTGACCTGTCGTTCTGCCATTTGGTCGATTTGCATATTAGGCTTTTATTATGTAGGACTAGAGGCGCGATGCATGAAATTTGTGCAAGGAGCTTGTCCCTCGAAGCCCCGGCTGGCCCTTGCAGCCCTGGCTGCCTCGGCTGGCCCTTGTATCCCCGGCTTTGTCCAGAAGGTCATCCAGACGGTCATCTGGAAGATCGACTAGACAGTCATTCTGTTGTTTGGTCTAATTAGCATATTAGTGCTTTATTATATAGGATATCTCTTAAAATTTGAATGTATTGCTAATCTGAGGAATATTAATTACTTACATGACACCTAAAAATTAAGGTTTCTATGCATCATAGTGACCTGTCGTTCTGCCATTTGGTCGATTTGCATATTAGGCTTTTATTATGTAGGACTAGAGGCGCGATGCATGAAATTTGTGCAAGGAGCTTGTCCCTCAAAGCCCCGGCCGGCCCTTGCAGCCCTGGCTGCCTCGGCTGGCCCTTGTATCCCCGGCTTTGTCCAGAAGGTCATCCAGACGGTCATCTGGAAGATCGACTAGACAGTCATTCTGTTGTTTGGTCTAATTAGCATATTAGTGCTTTATTATATAGGATATCTCTTAAAATGTGAATGTATTGCTAATCTGAGGAATATTAATTACTTACATGCCACCTAAAAATTAAGTTTCTAAGGGTTAAGGACTCTAAAATTATGGTTTTGGTATAATAGAGAAAGCATGAGGCATGAAAATACATTTTGAAGGAGAAAGAAAGTGGTTTCTAAAGCTGGTTATTTAATGTGTGTAAAAAAAGTGTTGAAAAGAAATTGAATAAATAATACAGGCCAGTAAGCGGGGATAAGTAGAATGGGGAAATTGAAATAGTTAAACAGCAATTTGGAGCCATCTAGTAAATCCTATCTTCCCTAAACCAAGGACACTTAAGAGTAAATGATGTGCATTTTGCCTCCCTAAACAGAGAGTAAATAGCTTATATCAATGTACTCAGGGAGACTGATAGCAGAAATCCAAGTAGTGTCATTTGCTGACTGCACCCAAACACAAATGAAGTTACAAAAATGAAGTTATAAACCTTTTTTTGGTTAGTCCTTTTCTGAAGAAAAAGTTCTATAAATTATTATATGTTATATTAATCAGATATTTTTAAAAAGTAAGCTTAATTGGGGGAACTGGAGTTTTACTAGCTTATGTTTGTGGTTAATACCCTCTGTCACTTTGAATGCTGTATAACCTTTTGGTAGAATGGGTTTGACAATCTTCCTAGGGTTTATATTTTAATCAAAGTTTTTGTTTTGTTTTTTTTTGTTGTTTTTTTTACCTAGAGTTGGCTAAAGTTGATTCCCGTGGGCTCCGGAATGACTCATCATCTTCCTACAGTGAAAACTAAGGAACAAATTTCTTAAGAACTGTATTAGGTATCTCTTCTACTTTAATCTCTCTCAGGTTCAAAGGCCTCCTGACCCAAAGCCCTCTTCTTGAGTTTCCGGTTCATCACCATCGACCAGAAGACTATGTTTGTTCTAATCAAGACTTGGAAGGGAAGCAAGTTGGAACCCTCCTGGAAAGGACCCTACCTGTCTTGCTTACCACAGAGACTGCTGTTTGGACTGTAGAGTGAGGTGGGACCCATCACACATGGGTTAAGGGCGAACACAACTCAACTTGAATGGCCATACCAGGACATATCCCCTTGAAATTGATTCTAAAAACTGTGAGCTGTCTTAATAACCATCATGTACTGAGTTCTATTTGCTTTAGGGATCTGGCAAATTGCAGGGGCTTACAATGTGGGCTGGAGAAAGGTGTACAATCTAAATCGTGCTTACCCAGTTAAATTAATGGTTAT